AATCACGTCTCTAACTTGCAGCTTTTTGGCTTCTGCGTGATTCAGATCCAGTCGTTCATAAGCCGCTGTTGCTTTGTAGTGAAGGACGACTCTGCTCTGGTTCCTGAACTGCTTGTGATCGTTCAGATAGCTGGCAGATCCTCCAGCTTCAACCAGACCGCTGCGAACGCTGAGAATGAGCGACGGGTCGGCGCTCAGCAGAGACGCTTCGGTTTCGATGGAGTCTGAGGCCGAAGAGTCATAAATGCTGCTGCGCTGGACCGTCTTTACCGATACCTTTTTAATCGTTTCTCTGTCCCACAAAGTGAAATCTGTAAATAAATGAATATCTGTTGATTTTCACCAGAAGTTCATGTTTATGCATCATTGACAATCGTTTCACTCAAAGGTTCCTGAACATTGAAACAAGAGGATCAACAACGTTTTGATTTGAAAAAATTGGATTTCTAGAACAAATTAACCATAAAAATAAAGATAAAGCAACACATTGATGATTCCAGAATGAAATCCCTCAGATGCTTATCAGAACCAAATAAGTTGCCAGTCAAATATAGTTTATTTTTATTTTATGACAGAATCAGGTTTCGCTGGTCAGATGTCAGTCTACATCGGTGTGGGAAACTCCAGGCCTGGAGGCCTGATGTCCTGCAAACTATAGATGTGTCTCTAGTTCAACACAGTGAGGTCATCAGCAGGACTCTGGACCTGACTGCACTTAGGAGGCGCTTAAACTATTGGACTGAAGCATGTTGAGACTCTCAGAGTCGCAGGACTCCAGCCCTCGAGGATTCCCCACCGCTGGTCTCCGTCCTGCAAACTCTGGGTTGTTGTCATGCAGATGTAATCAGAGTGATCAAGAATTTGAAACAGAACATTTTTATATCTTTGCTGGCCTCAACAGTCCATTTGACAAAGCAGCTGCTACCTGCGAGCGTACGGGCCAGAGTCCTGCAACCAGAGTCCTGCAACCAGAGTCCTGCAACCAGAGTCCTGCAACCAGAGTCCTGCAACCAGAGTCCTGCAACCAGAGCCCTGCAACCAGAGCCCTGCAGCCAGAGTCCTGCAGCCAGAGCCCTGCAGCCAGAGCCCTGCAACCAGAGTCCTGCAACCAGAGTCCTGCAACCAGAGCCCTGCAGCCAGAGTCCTGCAACCAGAGTCCTGCAACCAGAGCCCTGCAGCCAGAGTCCTGCAGCCAGAGCCCTGCAGCCAGAGCCCTGCAACCAGAGTCCTGCAACCAGAGTCCTGCAGCCAGAGCCCTGCAGCCAGAGTCCTGCAACCAGAGTCCTGCAACCAGAGCCCTGCAGCCAGAGCCCTGCAGCCAGAGTCCTGCAACCAGAGTCCTGCAACCAGAGTCCTGCAACCAGAGTCCTGCAACCAGAGTCCTGCAGCCAGAGCCCTGCAGCCAGAGTCCTGCAACCAGAGTCCTGCAACCAGAGCCCTGCAGCCAGAGCCCTGCAGCCAGAGCCCTGCAGCCAGAGTCCTGCAGCCAGAGTCCTGCAGCCAGAGTCCTGCAACCAGAGTCCTGCAACCAGAGTCCTGCAGCCAGAGTCCTGCAGCCAGAGTCCTGCAGCCAGAGCCCTGCAGCCAGAGTCCTGCAGCCAGAGTCCTGCAACCAGAGTCCTGCAGTGTTTAGATGTGTCTCCAATGAAACAGTGAATGTTTCTCATGCAGCTCAGCTCTGCTAATGAGCTTCACATGGAGCCAGTGTGTTGAAGCAGAGAGACTTTTAAAAGCTGCAGGACATCTTGAGGCCTGGATGTGTATGAATGCAGATCTACTATAAGCTCAAGGAATCATTGTCATGGACCATGCAAAGCATCATGGGACATAGGAATAGGATGGACTGCGTGGAAAATATCCGTTATAATGTTCCACTGTAACGTTGGTTAAACCAGACAGACAAAAACCAGTTTATTCCAGAAGACTTTACATAGACCTGCAGCTGTTTTAATGTTCCTCCTCACATTCAGGGTGTCGGTCATAAATATTTAATCTTCTGACCTGGGATGAGTTCATCCTGTCGAGCATCGTACAGCATTCCCAGAGCGAAGGGCCGACCCAGAGCGGCCGCCTGCCTGTGATCTGAGGCCATGTCTCCAACCTGGAAGGACAGAGTCATGAGTTCAGCATCCAGAGGCTTCAGAAGGTATTAATAAATAAAGCTAAGTCTGGATATGTGGGTGAGACGACATCACTGACGATTCAGAGCAGAGAACAGACCGACAGGCAGTGAAGGAGCGTTTTGGTGACCGTTCCTCCTGGAACGCTGTCGGAGCTCAAGGCCGTTTAGTCTCAGCCTGGCTGGACTCTAATAAACTCTATAATGTTTGTTTTCCATCACGGTGGAGCCCTAATCCATGTGGGTCGGTCCAAAAGAACCAAAACATCCACAGCTTTGCTTAAAGCTTTAATGCAGCCGGTCGCTGATTTTAGAAATGAGTCCAAACCAGTGACGGCATCTTCTGGCCAATCAGGAACCAGCGGAGCTCTGATGTCACGTTCAGCCCAACTGAGCATGCTGGGTACTCCAGCCCAGGAGGTGCTGAACGATGGGCCGGTACCATGCAGGCACTGGGCCGGTACCATGCAGGCACTGGGCCAGTACCATGCAGGCACTGGGCCGGTACCATGCAACCATTGGGCCGGTACCATGCAGCCACTGGGTCGGTACCATGTAGCCATTGGGCCGGTACCATGCAGCCACTGGGCCGGTACCATGCAGCCACTGGGCCAGTACCATGCAGGCACTGGGCCAGTACCATGCAGGCACTGGGCCGGATCAGCCGGGCTAAGCGGCACCACCAGAATAACTCATGATGAAACTAAATATGTATCATCATCATGTCAGCATGAAACCCGTCATCAGGTCACTTTAATGCAGTTTGATGGATGATAAGCAAACACAGAATGACACGGTCGCTAAGACGACACATGATGCAGAGAACCATCTGCTGATCCATCAGCAGCAAGATGAGATGAAACAAAGCAGAGACGTGTTGGTGACGGACATGTTGCTCCTTCCTCTGAGTGAGAACAGAGAGCAACCAAACCGAGACTGTCGCTGACCCTCAGTGATGCAGATCAACATGTTGCTGCTGCTCTCTGATGTTCGCTCTGGATGGGACTGTTTTATTCTAAAGTGGAAACTTTTGAACCATCTGTGTGGTTCCTCCACATGGAAACAGGATAAAAACTTTGCATGAAAACACCTGTTTGTAAAAACGCTGAAGTTTTTATCTCAGCCTCTAAGCTGATCTGCAGCCAAGCGCGTCACACCCAACAGGAACAAATCATTTGTCTTGTCGTTTTATAATCCGATGTGATGCACAGAAGAAGTTTGAATTCATCTGGACTCTAAACTAGAGTCTCCAGTTTGCTGTTTGTCTTTCTGGTTCTTTTGTTCAGCTGATGGAGTTTTTATTCCAGGCTACATGTTTAGCGCCTCTTACAGGTTTGAAGAAGTATTTCTCTGTGGATGGAAACATTTCTGGAAACGATGCAGTTTCTGTGTGAATGAGAGTCTAAAGCAAACAGACCAAGTAATTCTCATCAAAGCTTCCAAATGCACTAATGTTTCAATGCATTGCTGTCTTTATTGTAATATTCTTTACCTTTTTGTCTTTATTCTTCTGGAAAATAGTCAGAATTAACCCGACTGACTAGAACTATGCAAACTTGCCTGGTCTTGTCTTAGACGTCCAACAACAGCGACGACAATAAAGCAGAAGGTGAATCTAATCAGAGCAAATCAACCAAACTGTCTCTGGACCCCTAAAAACAGAAAAACATAAATACCAACATAATTACTACTGTTTAGTTCATCTCAGTTCATTTTACAGCTCAGAAAAACAGAAAAATATAATCAGTTCAGTTTCAGTTGTTTTATAAACTGAGTTACAGTTCGATCAGAACGGAGCGCCAAGTTTATTATCATGTCAAGTTTTCTATTGATTACCTGCTGAAGCTGCCAGTCTCTGCTGAGTCTTCTTGGTTCTGAAGGCTTTGAGCTCCACAGCGGTTCTGGTCTCAGTGAAACTCCTCCCACCAACACCTGGACCGGCCTAACAGCCCAGGTGAGTCCAGAACCCAGGTGAGTCCACAGCCAGGTGAGTCCACAGTCCAGGTGAGTCCAGAGCCCAGCTGGACTGTTGGACCTGTGGTGGAGTCGGATTGGACCTGCTCAGTCTAAAACATCAGAGGACGAAACCTGTCAGGTGAGTCCTGCAGAGACGTCGCTGCTGTTTGTGAGTCTGATCTCACAGGTCCAAACATGAACTGGAAACATGCAGCCGGTTTCTTGTCTTCTATCATCTGATAGGATGAAAACGCTGTAAACTCCCTTCGCTTACAGAACGAGCTGATAGAATCTACAACATTCCTGGAGGACAAAAAGATCCAAACATGTTTTTATCAGCCAAACTGGAAACTTCAGAAATTAGAAGAAGTTTCCAAGAGAAGCTGCCTTCCTAACAAATCGATTCCTCTTGTTTTATTGTGTGAATCTGAAGTGATTTGAAATAATTTGGGGATATGAACAGACCATTAGGAGACCAGCCAGCTCTCTCACTGAACACTGTGAAACATTTTCATCTGGATCAGTTTCTTATCTGGAGCCACGTTTGGACCGCTGCTGGAGTTTGGCTGGAGGCCACAAAGACACTTTTCTGGTGCTGCAAATGGCCCCTGAACCACAGATTTAACACCTTTCTGCAGCAAAGAAAGAAGAGAAAGGATGAACAACACAATGAGGTTAAAGATGTACCTGCATCCCATCGTGGAGGACAAACAGCGAGCAGAACAGCGAGAACCAAAGATTTATCTGTATTTCATGACCAGAGAGGTTATATAGTTTACTGACGGTCCCTGAACGCACCATAGCTTGGCTGAACTGCAGGCTCAGTCCTGCAGAGCAGAACAGAAAATATTAACAATGGGCAATAAATATAGAGTCACACTGCAGGAAATGTCCCAAACAAAGAAACAAATGACGGGAGCAGAACTTCAGCCTCTGATAAATCCTCCAGAACCTTCTGCAGGTAAACAAAGAGATGAGACAGAAACATGTTTGGATCTGCTGGCAAAACTTTACAAAGCAGTTTCGGTTTTCTAAAGATCTGGATGTTCATATTCAATACAGAAATAAAAACAAATCAAGCAAGCAGAGTGTTGAGCCATGAGAGAGAAGAGCAGCAGAGAAAGGTGAGGACAGTCAGAGTGACGGAGAACAGCCGAGCAGCCATTCATCAGAGTTCTTCCAGAGTTTTCTAGATGCATTTTCTGGACAAAACTTTTGTTCTTATGTGATGTTCAAAACAAAAGAAGAGCTTTAAGCGTGAAATGTTCTGAAGGAACGTTGATCTGGTTGTTCAGGCTGGTAGAGAGAACATGAAAGAATCTATGAACCCAGAGGAGGAACAAACACCTGATCTGCAAAGTAAAAGAAACTAAAACAACCCAAAAACATAAAGGCGTGAACAGGGTATGGCAAGACCTTAACAACAATAATACGTCAGCTAAAGGGATTATGGCAAGACCTTAACAACAATAATACGTCAGATAAAGGGATTATGGCAAGACCTTAACAACAATAATACGTCAGATAAAGGGATTATGGCAAGACAAGTCTGGAAAATCCTCAATGGTAATAAACCAAGAAAAATCTGAATTCAAACACAAACCAATTGATCATTGATCAGAGCACATGAAACCAAACATGGCAGTAGCGCGAGAGCTCCCCCTGGTGGTTAAACACTTTCAGCCAGTCTGAATTATTACTGAATAAATCAGACGCAGCAGAATAATTGGACGTGATGAAGGAGCATAAAAAGCTCCTGCTGTGCGACCTGATCTCTGTGGTGATGAATCACAAGCCTGTCAGTCGTTTAGGAGCCTAAAACATATTTGATTCTGTTTGAATCTGAATGAAAATGTCAACATTTCACCAACAAAACATGAAAATAAAAGTGTTTACCACCACATTAACATTTTGGCTGAACAGACCGGTTCGAAGGCCCAGAGAGAAATTAGACATGTTTTGTGATTTCTGTGCTGAAGGAAAGTTTTTCTGCTTCACCCAGACGAGGATCCTCAGGGAGGAGGAGCTGCTGGTGTTTTACACCCTCGATAGATTTGCACTCAGATTCAATCACACTATTTATCTACTTTTTTCCTTCCACACAATTTTCTCCTGTTGGAATATACAGTCATAATCAATAAATCAGAAAATATGTTCAGAAGAGGCTCATTTGTTAACATTTTTCACAAAATCCACATTTTTTCTCATTATTGGTCTAACATAGTATTATAATCTTAAATTAAATGTTTTCATCAACTTTAAGAAAGAAATCAGAAATAATGGCTTTGAAACAAGATAGAAAAAACATAAAATCACTTTAGAATCATTAAAATCCTCATCTTGAGTCTTCAACCGGCATCATTTGAAGCAGGAACTCAGAATTCGTCCTAGTCAAAGTCCTGACAGGTCTAGTAAACATAGTCCAGCATGATGTGAGTTCGTGGATAACTGGGATACGGAGAAGTCCAGCCTGGAATCCGCTGGAGGAGCTTGTCATCCCAGTTAGAGCTCCAGATGTTCCTGAGGAACCAGAACAAACATCTGGCTGCCAGGTAGAGCGCTCCGGCTTTCAGGAAGAGTTTCAGGAACCAGGAAAATCCGCCTTCGCTTCCTTTACCATGGCTGCCTCCAGATCCATAACTGGATCCATAACCAGATTCATATCCATAACTGGACCTGCTCCAGTAATCTTCATAATAATCTGCAGAAAGACAATCAGAAAAAGTCAAATCTGCGCTCAGCCTCAGAAATATATTCACTTTGCTGTTTTATTGTCACATTCATACAATTAAAGTTAATCGAATTAATAAAGCTTCATAAATTAGCTGCTTGTGGTTCAAAAATGAAAAAACAAGAACAAAATGTATCTGAATCACTGTCCTTACATTCTCTAAAGTAAAGGATTAAATAAGTGTTTGCTTCTTCCTACTCCTTGTCAATTGGATTCAGCGCTTTAGCATCAGCTATCATACTGCATTGGTGTAGCACTTTAGCATTAGCACTTTAGCTTTAGCACAACTAATGTTTTAGTTAGCAATAGCCACCACTGCATTCATTTATCTGTCCATGTATTGGTGGGCAAACGTCCACTAATCTGCTAATGCGCTAATAGCAGAGCTAACATCCTCTACCCAAATGCAGTGCAGCAAATGACATTTATTCTTTACCAAGAACATTAAATATGCTATTAGTTGTACTACCTGTGTCATAGTGGATGTAAGCATGAATTCATTGCGTTAGTGTTAGCTTCTGCTAAATATTATGTTGTTGTAGCACTTTAGCACTAGCTTATGCTAAATATCAAGTTGGTGAAATTTTACCAAATATGTTGAAATAGTACTTCAATGTTAGCAGAACGAGTATTAATGACTCGCAGCTTTTGGTTAGCGCAGCTAGCTTTTGGTTAGCGCAGCTATTTTTGGTTAGAGCAGCTAGCTTTTTGATTAGCGCAGCTGGCTTTTTGGTTAGCGCAGCTAGCTTTTTGATTAGCGCAGCTGGCTTTTTGGTTAGCGCAGCTAGCTTTTGGTTAGCGCAGCTACTTTTTGGTTAGCGCAGCTAGCTTTTTGATTAGCGCAGCTGGCTTTTTGGTTAGCGCAGCTGGCTTTTTGGTTAGCGCAGCTAGCTTTGTGGTTAGCGGCGCCTCCACTGGTGACCTTTGCTCTGTTTCTGTAAATCTCTCTAAAATGTGAAAACAGGTTGAGTGTTTACCTCGGTATGGATCCAACCAGCTGGAGCGCAGGGAAAGTTCCCTCCGAGGTTTCGGTTTCTTGCTGCTTTGCTCTTCTTCTTCTTCTTCTTCTTCTTCTGCAGGGTGGTGTAAGTCACCAGGCTCCCGCTGCCATCTGGGTCAGTGCTGGAGCAGAACTGGTCCAGGTCCAGCTGGCGATTGAAGGCCTGGGAGAAGAACTCGGTCGGATCGTTCTGCATCATGCTGAGCATCATCTGGACTGAAGGGTTCTCCGCGTCCTGCAGCATCACTACCTCGTCATAGTAACCCATCTGAGTGAGGAGGGAGCTGAGGTCCAGCTGCGGGTTCTGCAGAAGTCGGATCAGTTGCGAGCTGACCTCATGAGTTCCGTCGGATCGGAACCGTCCAGCAGCAGCGTCTTCGTGTTCTGTGATGTAGACCTTGTCCACCAGCCGGGTCTTCACCTGGTAACTGATGATGATGCGGTCGCTGTTGGAGACGCCGCCCGCCCCGAGGTTCTCCCGGACGAACGGCGGCAGGTCGGCGGACCGCGGGTAAGACTGGGTGCTCAGGTTCCCGACCACGAAGTAAACCAGCTGGAGGGAGAGAGGGAGTGAACCCGACCTCTGAACGAGACCGGACACAGAACATCCACTGTTTCCACCCTGAACTGCTTTTAATCTTTGACTTTCAACCAGACTTCTGTAAAAAGATGTTTAAATATGAAAAATGAAGTTTTCATAGGGAAGAATTAGGAAAGATTTTATGCTTCCATTTGAGTCTCTACTGCTTCTAAAACTACACACTACACCGTCACCCTAAGGACGGCTTGGAGGCAATATGTAGAAGAAGGTAATATTTCATATGCTTTAGCTACATTCATGCTATCTATACTATCTGGCTGTTTATATGACAACACCAACACCAGAAGTTTTTCTTCACAGGCTGGAGCTCATGGCAATAAACAAAGAACAGAGTCTAGAAAAAAAGCCATTTTTCAACAATCATATCACAATTAAATATTTTCCTGAAATCGTGTCCAAGTACTTCAGGTTTTTACCAAAGCGGAGCCACTAAAGACGTTTATGCTGACGGTAACTTCCAGTTCCTGCTTTTAAAGATTTACTAAAAAATCATCTGGAGATCAAATTCTGTCATTTTTGGCTCAATGACGAGTTTCTTATATTCACTCAGTGAAAGCAGAAACGGCTGAACAGCAACACTCTTCAGTCTGGATGCTGTTACTGAGTGAAGAAGACGTCTAACATTAGCCTGAGATCAGCCAATGAGCTGCAGCGGATCCCTGCAGACGCTATGGATGGAGACGTGCTGCTGACCTGCCTGCTGCTCTTGTTCTTCTTGGGTTTGAGGAGAACAGGCAGAAGTTCCTCCATGTTCCCAAACCTGTGGAAGCCGAAAGCCCCGTTCTCCGGCTGACACCCCGACACCAGCTGAGAACCAGAGGGACGTGATTACTCGCCGCTTCATTAGCAGGCAGAGCGGAGCGCTTCACCAACCTTCATGACGTCCCCAGAGTTGTCCGGTTCAAAGGTCACGCAGTGGTTGGAGAACCAAAACAGCAGCTGGAGGCCGTGGCGAGGAAAAGGACGACCGAAGCCAGACGTGTCCAGGTGGTGGAGGGTGTGGATCTGCCACAGAAGCATGGCGGCGCCAACATGGACGCTACGCTGAGGATTCCTGAGGAAAACATGACAGAATGGCGTCATTAGAGAACAGGAACGATTCATCAACACGGTTCCTCATCACCTTCAGGCTGTCCACCTGACCGAGAACAACCAACAAATTCAGCTGGAAAATATCAAACATTTCCTTTTATTAAACAGGCCAGTTTTATTTAACCTTTCATACAAATCTTGATGCAATCTGCTGTTGTTTAGATATTAAGAGACAATGTGAAAACAGATCCATGATCCATGGCTAAACTTTCTGGAGGATTTCTGTTAGTTTAGCCAGTTTTCTTTAGACAAACCCGGCTTTAAACATAGAAATGTTCATTGTGACTCAGGTAGGGTCAAAATCAGTTTATTCGTGTTGCCATGTTGGATCATGCAGCTGGAGAGAAACATGTAAAGACCCAGACTGGGATTTGAACCCAGAACCTTTTTGCATTGATGCGTTAAAAACTCACTTCATCTCCTGTAAACATTGTAAACATTGTTCCTGTCATTTTGGCCAGATTAATTCTGTCCTATAGCTGAAAATAGCCCCTATTCTGATTATAGTGTTATTTACTATTATTTGTTTAATAGAATATGTTCCATCAAAATACGGTTTATTAAACTGGACTTTAATCACCGTGATCAATGCATCTCCCCTTCATACAACCTGCAGGTTGTCTGAGTAAAATGACAAATAATGGCAAAAGTGGACAAATATTACTGGGTCTGCTTTTACATTTTTACCCAAACATTTCTTGGAGATTAAAGTGCATCGTTTAATAATTTAAATGTTTATCATCTTAAAGCAAAGAATAGTAAAAGCAAAGGCATATAACCGTTAAAGATGAGAGCAGAGCCTTGTATTGAAGGGCTTTTTCTGTCTGTGTTGCCAGATCTCCTCAAGTTTCCATCCTGCTTCCTTGTTGTCCAGCAGAGGGAACGCCCCTGCAGCGCTCGACGTCAGATACGACGTCAGATACGTGCTCGTTCACGTCGGTTCCGTACGCGCGGTGCCTCTGCGTCAGTCTCGCGCCTCCTCGCTCCCGATGCTCTCCTTTTCCCAACAACCAGAAGATAGATGTTCCGATTTCAGGTGAGATTTAACCTTGAGAATCGGTTCCGGTCCGGTTCTGGACGGGACGTCTGGGGCCTGAGGAAGGTGTTGAGGGGGAACCTGGCCTGGTCGGGGTTAAATGTCCTCCATTCCCTTTTGTTTGGACCTCAATGCCACCTGCGGCCTGTGAAGCAGCGCGCTTTCCTGCTGGTTCATGCGGAGCGACGGCGTGCGTTCTCCGGTGCCATGGCCCGGGACGGACCTGTGGTTCTGTGGGTCAGCCTGTGTTATAACGGGCCAGATTCTGATCGTTTCCGTATCGGCGCTAGAAGGAGCTGGTTCCATCAGGTTTTCCGTCTCCGGTTCAAAGCGTGATGTAACGGCGGTGCTAGCTTAGAGGCTAACTGTCCTGGAGGCTGTCAGGGGTCTGTCCGGCTCCTGCAGGGCTTCACCTGCTTTAGTTGCTTTGAAAATCAAAACTTATAAATCAGTACATTTAATATATGCTCCATGTTCTAACAGGGATGGAAAGTGCAGTCTTTTAGAGCCGGTGTCCTGCAGGTTCAACACCTGAATAATAAATATGACTCACTATGAGAGCTCTGCAGAACCTGCTGAGGTTCTGATTCAGACTTTGGTTCAGGTTTGTTGGTGCAGAAATATCTGAAACCTGCAGGACACCTAGTGTGGAGATTTAAATAAGAGAAAATAAAGTTCCTCAGGTTTCTGTCTGCAGCTGTCAGAACGGTTCTGGTCTAATTCAGATCTTAACATCAGACCAGGAACCAGAACTCCAGTGTCTCCATGCGGCCAGTTTGACCTCAGAAAGGAGACGGACTGAAGCTTCTGTCTGAATGACAGCTTTATGTTATTAAATGGACACAATTAGGGTAAAAATGTTGGGAGGCTTTCAAACGTGACATCACCTAATGGCAAGCATGGTGGTGGCGGCATCATGCTGAGGATCTGATGTGCTTCCAGCTGCTGGAAAAGCTGATGTTTGATACTTAGACACAGTTTTGTTTTCCGACAGGACAAAAATCCCAAACACATCAGGACCGGCAAAAACCTGCAATAATTGATCATATTGGCAAAAACTGATATGAAGTAATAAAGATTTATTAGTATTAACATTAATTTCAGATAAAAAGTCGTCCAACCAGCAACTGGAAAAATTCATTATTTCTTTAGTGCATTTGTAGCAACAATTCTTTTGTTTTTTATTTTAATGTTTTTTTATTAAAGTTAAGCTGCTGATGTAACAAACTGATGCTGGTCTGAAGAATCGTAGATTTAAAAATAATTAAAGTTTAGATGCAAAAATATTTAAAACAGAGTGAAATTCCCCTGAAAGCAGCTCCAGTGTTGAGCCTCGAAAATGTTTAGTTTCATTTTTATATCCTGAATGTCAAAATATTTGATGTTTGACCAGATTAATAATTTTATGAATTATAATGTTTAATAATAAAACTGGGTTTATAATAATGTCTCATCATATTCATCAGCTTTAATTACCAGTAATTACAGCTGAATAAAGCATAAACTGATCATTAGAGTATCAGTTATTGATTTGACTTCGATCAGGCTGATAGAAATGAGAAGACATGAAGTGTGATGAGAGCAGATGAGTAAACAGTTTGTGCAACAGAAACTGTTTAAAGATGATACCAAATAATAATTCGATTTCTGTGAACAGAATGTTGTGGTGATCGATGACATGAACGATGACGTGTCTGGACTCGGTTCGGTCCAGGACCCGGCGCTGACTGAACAGCAGAACCACGGAGCCTGAAACATAAAGTTACTCATTTGTAAATAAAACGGTAATATTTTGTGACATCACATCAGTCACACATATGTGAATTAAAATGAATCAAATCTTGAGCGATTTTGTGATACTGGTGAAAACTGTTCTTAACAAACCAGTAAATCACAATGAATCCGGTGAAACCAGTATGAAGCACAAAGGTCAAAGGTCTCATGTCGGCCCGTCGCAATAAATTCTGCTGGACGATAAGTGATCAGAAATTATAGCAATAAATGATAATATGTATCGCTCTTTGATACCATTTTTAAGTAACATAATAATAATGAAAGAACATTTTCAAGGATCAATAAACTTTAATTTCGAATAAACATTTAACACTTGAGACTAGAAAACATTTTAAATGTCCAAAACAAACAAAATGAATGAAGTTTCTGTAAATAAAACTTTTATCATCCAACAAAGAGGAAAACAATAAATCATTCAGATTATTGACCTCATTTTAATTGATCATTCAGATGATTGATTTATTGCAACAGATCTTGATCGGTATTTTCTCAGCCTACATAAAGAACCACAGACTGAAACAAGGGAGAGAAAAAGGAGAAGCAGGTTTTGTCTCTGCTCGGCTCATCCTGTCCTCCTCCTGGACGGGACATTCTGCTGCTGCTGCAGAGACGATGTGGGTCAAACAGATTCAACGTGGCATTGATTCACTCACAGTGATGTGAACTACTGTAACGGGTCTGATGGTCGGTTTCAGGTCATTTATGAAATCATGGCGATGTCAGATTAATCTGCTGACAGTTCTGACCAGTTTATTAGAGGATAATCCAGGATCTTCTGCTTTCAGTCCCTGGATGACGACTGTACTCTGGAGGAAGAGGATGATGGGCTGATTGAGAGGAAGATGAGATCGATCAGTTTAATGACGACACGTTTGGAGCCGGCGCCATCGGTGAGCAGTCGCCGCTTTCTTTCTACTCTGCGGTGGTTCTGGGATTAAAGCTGCTCTGTGTTTCCAGATGACGACTGGCAGGAGGAGCACAAGCGCCTGGCGGAGCTGGACGAGCGGGACGGGCGGGCGCCGGGCGGGGTCAGGGGGGCGGAGACTCCTCCCCGGGCCCCGCCCCCTCCACCGCCGTGGGTCGGCACCCTCCGCTCGGCTTCTCTTCGTCTTCCTCTGGACTGCCGGGTCACGGTGGGTTTGGGCCGCCGGCGCCCCTGAGAGCGGTCCGTTCCGGGTTCTGATGCGTTCTTGTTTCTCTGCAGACGAGCGATCGGGAGGCGGCGACCTGGCCGAGTCTCTGGCCCGCTTCATTCTGGACGCCGACCCGGCCATCGCCGGCGTCGGAGGCAGAGAGGCGCGGGCGGCCCCCGGGTCGGCCGGGCCGGTTCTGTCCGTGCTGCGGGGCCCGGACCAGCCCAGAGTCCTGCAGCAGCCCGCCTGCATCCCCCCCAAACACCAGCTGCCCCCCGGACCCCCCGCCTCAGGTGAGCAGGTCACCTAGTGACGGGTCACTTCCTGTTTGGACGCTTTCTGAGCTGAGATGTTTGTCCCGCAGGCCTACCCGCCTCCTCCGTGCTCAGCTACCAGCAGCAGCAGCACCTCCTGCGCAGAGGAGCCGCTCCCATGGGCCAGGTCCGTTCCTCGGTTTCCCTCACGCCGTCATTCAGAGGAAGTGGAGCAGAATCATCTGAAGCTGCGTTTTCGCTACAAATTCGATGTTGCTATGTTCAGCTAACATTAAAAAATTAAATTTCATAATTACAGTGTTTATATTTAATAAGAAACACAATTAAAATCACGTGAATGAGTTTATTTACAAAATAAAACATTAAGAAACAGGCTGCGCCATCAACTTCCTGTCATTGTTGTCTTCATGGTTTCCTCCAGTAGCAACATCCTGTTGTGGATCACATGACTCATGATGTTTCCATGGAGGTTTGCCGATAACTCCTCATCGTTGCGCGCCAACAGCTGCTGTTTATCCTTTGCTTTTGATGAATCAAGTTTAGTGCAAGAAACTTTTCAAATTAAAGTCTGAATTCTGTCCAACGGTACCAGTAAAGGTCACCGGATCTGACCTTTAGGTCTAACTTTCCCACTTCGTCTCCACAGATGAACTCTCACAGCATCTGGGACAACAGCATGGGCTTCGGGCCGGTCAGCGTCACGCCGGGACTCGTCACACACATGGAGGTGAGAGAAACGCCTTTCTCCTTCCAGAACCAGAACCAGAACCTGAGCTCCATCTTCTGCTCCGTCCTCAGGACAGTCCACTGATGTCCATCATCAGGAGGCTACCGAAGCGCCCTCCTCAGGGGAGGAGCGATGAAGGTCACGACCTGTCAGAGAGAGCCCCGCCCCGCTCCTCCTCTCCTGTGATTGGCTCTCCTCCGGTGAGGGCGGTGCCTATCGGGACGCCGCCCAAACACCGATGAGCCTGAACCACCAGGTGAGGCGCGGAGACGGACGCTCAGACCATAGCGTGTTCCTCTGAGTCTCCAGCTGTGTGTGTGTGTGT